TTGTATACCTGAAATTTACTAAGAGGATAGAGCTTAAATTCAGTCTTCTTACCACACACACACACACACACACACACACAAATGGTAACTATACAGAGGTGATGGACACGTTATTTAGACTGACTGTGGTGATCTTTTCACAATGTATACACATTTATCAAAACATCAAGTTGTACACTTTAAATATATACAATTTTTATGTGTCAAAGCTATCACAGTAAATTTTTTTAAGCTGTCCTCATGATCATGGGATATCAATTTTTTTTTAGACTTTTTCCATTTACAACGTTGTATTAGTTTCTGGTGTACAGCATAATGAGATACACACACACACACACACACACACACACACACACATATATTCTTTTCCATTACATGTTACTACAAACCACTGAATATAGTTCCCTGTGCTATACAGTAGGACCTTGTTGTTTACCTATTATGTACATAGTTTGTATCAGCCAATTCCAAACTCCCAGTTTACCCCTCCCTCCTCCATTTCCCCTCTGGTAACCATAAATTCGTGTTCTAATGTCTATGAGTCTCTTTCTGTTTTGTAAATAAGTTTGTGTCATTTCTTAATTCCACATATAAGTGAGAGCATATGATGTCTGTCTTTCTCTAGGTCCATCCATATTGCTACAAATAACATTATTTCATTCCTTTTTACAGCTGAGTAGTGTTTCATTGTACACATATGCGCCACATTTTCTTTATCCATTCATCTGTCAGTGGACATTTAGGCTGCTTCCATGTCTTAGCTATTGTAAAAAGCACTGCTATGAACATTGGGGTGTATGTGTGTGTCTTTTCAGATTAGAGTTTTCTCTGGATATATGCGCAGGAGTGGGACTGCTGGATCATACAGTTAACTCTGTTTTTAGTTTTTTAAAGAGCCTCCATACTGTCCTCTATAGTGGCTGCACCAGTTTACATTCCCACCAATAGTGTAGGAGAGTTCCTTTTTCTCCACCCCCTCTCCAGCATTTATTATCTGTGGACTTTTTTATGATGGCCATTCTGACTGGTGTGAGGTGATACCTCACTGTAGTTTTGATTTGCATTTCTCTAGTAATTAGTAATGTTGGCCATCTGTATCTTCTTTGGAGAAATGTCTATTTCAATCTTCTGCCCATTTTTGATTGGGCTGTTTGTCTTTTTGATATTGAGCTGTGTGAGCTGCTTGTGTACTTTGGAAATTAAGCCCTTGTCGGTCACATCATTTGCAAATATTTTCTCCCATTCCGTATGTTGTCTTTTTGTTTTGTTTATGGTTTCCTTTGTTGTTGCAAAAGCTTTTAAGTTTAATTCGGTCCCATTTCTTTATTTTTGTTTTTATTTCCATTACTCTAGGAGACAGATCCAAAAAATATTGCTGCAATTTATGTCAAAGACTGTTCTGCCTATGTTTTCCTCTAGAAGTTTTATAGGGACATCAATTTCTATTACACCAATAACCGCTAGAGAACTGGCCAATACAGCTTTGTTTTGTTAGCTAGAAACACTGAATGTTTCATATATATGTATATATACAGAAGCAACACTTCTTTATAAAGGAAATATTGGCATGGTGACTGTCATTCAAAGTTTCCAAAGAGTAATTTTACTGTTTGGAGCCTTTGTAGTTTTATTCTTGAATTCTTATCTTTATTTTTAAAGGAAACATGTTTTATTTGTTAGAATATAAGTTTTCATTAAAAAGAGACATGTTCTATTTTTCATAAACCTCTGTGGTAAATCACCTGCTTCCACTCTTCTGGAAAATCTATTTTTGTTTAAAAAAAAATACAAAAACAAAAAAGCCTGATTCTTAGCCATACATGAAAAACTGGATTTTACTGGACTTTAAGAAATACTTCATCCCTTTCTCCGCCCCTAGATTATCAAACCGAGTTCATACTTCAAATTCTCCAAGTCATCACTGGTTGACTTTCATAAGCATGGGTTTTATCTCAAGTTATCAGGGAATAAGTTATTTCAGAGATAATGATTTTCCAAATAAGTGAGGTATGCTTTTTAAGCAACACTAAGTCTTTCTGAAATGTATTTAAAACTCTGCAGCTTTCTTAAACAGAATACATGACAATATAACCTTTTTGATAATTCAGGTAATGACTTATGAAGCTAGAACTTTCCTGAAGACTGTCTGGTTGTTTCTGAAACTTGGAGCAGTACTGGAATATAGCAGGCCCTGGTGTGTGTTGGATACCCTCTGCGGACTGGAGAGGATGGAAAATGCTTTCCCAGATACCCTTGCAGCTGGGGTTCTGGGTATGAACCAAGTTCCAAAAGTAGGTGCACTTTTGCAAGATTTTGGAGGTAGAAGTGAGGCAGAAACCAACTTCCCGCCATGTTTTAAGCAGATTCTGCCAGCAACATCATGGAAAAGTGGTTTTCCTGAAACAACATTCCAGAATCCATCCTCCAGCTGCCCGGGTCCACAGAGGCAGTCCAGTAACAGTAGCAGCAGTGACAGCTTCTTGGTTTCAGTTTCCTGATCCCTGGTTCACAGCTAAGGGGGTATTTTTTTATTGCAATATAATTCACATATCGTAAAATTCACCTTTTTAAAGAGTACAATCTACAAAATTATAGTACATTCACAATTTACAACTTTTTTGTAAGTTCATAAAGTTGTACAACCATCACCAGTATCTTAATTTCAGAGTATTTCATTACCCCAAAAAGAAACCCCTTACCTATTAGCAGTAATTCCCCATTCTCTTCTCCCTACCCAATGCCCGGGCCCCTGGCAACCACTAGTACACTTTTTGTTTCTATGTATTTGCCTATTCTGAATATTTCATATGAGAAGACCTTTTGGGAATGGCTTCTTTCATTTAGCATAACGTTTTCTAAGTTTGTCAGTCTTGTAGCATGTATCAGTACTTCATTCTTTTTTGTGGCTGAGTAACATTCCATTGTATATATTAAGTTATATTCATACTTTCATCAACTGCTAGACAGTTGGGTGGTTTCCACTTCTTGGCTGTATAAACAATGCTTCCATGAATATTCATGTAAAAGTTTCTGTGCATACATATAGTTGCAGTTCTCTTGAGTATATACCTAGGAGTGGATTACTGGGCCATATGGAACTTTATGTTTAACTTTTTGAGGAGCCAAGCTATTTTCCAAAGAAACGATACCGTTTTACAGTCCCACCAGTAACGTGTGATACTTCCAATTTCTCCACATCTCACCAACATCTGTGATTGGCTGCTTTTTGATTATGGCCATCCTAGTGTGTGTGAAACAGTATTTCACTGTGGTTTGATTTGCATTTCCTTATGGCTAATGAGGTTGATGTGCTTATTGGCCACTTTTATCTTCCTTGTACGAATGCCTAATTAAGAGGGCATGCTCTCGAACTTTTGTGACAGCCTCCGTGAAGGGTTAATTCCATCCTGCTCTGGGAGTGATTCCCAAAGTCATTACTTCACACAGTAGCAGCAGTGACAGCTTCTTGGTTTAGCTTCTTTAGCCCTTCCAACATTTTGCAAATGCTTGTTTTCCTGTTTAAAATATGTAGAGCATTTTATTTTCTGCACTGAATTCTGACTGATAGAGCTATTACTTAGAGGCTATTGTCTTATTTTGCATTTTCCTGCTGCACTCCAAATATTTCAGGTTGCTAGACAAGTTACCTCTTGCTATAAATGCTATTAACTGTGGACACGTGCTCATTTTCTACTGGTGCCACAACAAATTACCACACATTTAGCAGCTTAACCAACAGTTTTATTATTTTCCAGTTTGGCAGGTGAGAAGTCCAACACAGGTCTCACTAGGCTAAAGTCAGTCTGTTGACAGGGCTGTGTTCCATCCCAAATGCTCCAGGAAAGATCCATTTCTGTGCCCATTTGCATTGTAAACAGAACTCAATTCCTTTTGGCTCCAAGACTGAGACCCCTGTTTCCTGGCTGTCAGCTGAGAGCCATTCCCAGCTTCTAGTAGCCAATGCAGTTCTTAGCTTGTGCCCGCCCTTCCTCTATCTTCAAAGCCAGCAGCGGCACACTGACTCCCTCTCACATTTCCAATCTGTCTTCCTCCCCCTTCTGCCTCATCCCTCTGACCCATCCAATTTCCTTCCTTTTCTACTTAAATGATTCAGGCCATCAGGTTGGGCCCATCCTGATAATCCGGGATAATCTCTCCATCCGCAGGTCCTTAACCTTAACCACATCTGCAAAGTCCCTTTCGCCATGTAAGGTATGTGTTCACAGGTTCCGAGGATTGAAGTGAGGACATTTCAGGGAGGCCATTATCCTGTCTACTACAGTACAGGTCTTCACATTTTAAAAATTTCAAGTCAGAAGTCATTTGACATTAAAACGTTAATGTCAGTTTATTGCTGCATTCAGATATAGCTGATTATTTTTTCAAATTACTTCAAACACCTCATAACTACTTGTTATTATATTAATAATTATAGCCATGACCTGAAGGCATAAAATACAGATACTTTATGGCACCAAAGCCCCAGGACACAAAAGTCAATAGCCTAAATTTCTGCCCCCTTTTCTAGCACTGAGACATAGCTGAGTAATAAATGCTTAAGCTTAATCATCATTTCACGAAGGCTCTTGCATTCGTTATCTCATTGTATGCTTTCCACATCCCTGGGAGGGGCACAAAATCGAGCAAGTCTATTATTCCCTTTCTACAAAGGAGAAAATGAAACTAAGAAAGACTAATGAATGTCCAGGTATTAGTAACTGTGCACACTTACTAACAAGTGATACTTCAGTAAGGAGCACGGAGGGAACCATACATAGAAAATGAGCAGGTCACAATCTTCACAGGGAAAATGCTGACATTTTGAATATTTTTAGGAATGATATAAAAACAACAAATAGAATTTGCTGATTCGATCTGAAACAGTATAAAGGATAAGGGTTCACTTTGAAGGAAACCAGGGATTAAGCGCTTGTTTTTCAAGGTTTTCGAGGTTATAGTGTTATCTTACCTAGTTCTTCTCAGATGTATAAATAAAAGAGGTCCTAAAGGCATTTTGCCTGTCTGATCTTGTCCTTTCTACTAGGGTACAACAAAGGAACAGGAGAGCAAGGGGACAAAACACAAAGGCATGTAAAAGCTAATTTAAACAAATGAAACGTAGGTAAAGCCAGCACCTACTGCCATCCTACTGATAATAATCATACACAAAAAGGTGGTCCTGTGCCCTCTTCAGATTGTATTCTGGTTCATCAAAGATACTGCAAGCTTCAAAATCTGAGTCTATGATTTTTCCAATTCTGCTCCCCGCAAGGAAATCATTAAGAAATGAGACAATGACTCTCTTCATCTACATCTACCCTACTATCTTCCTTCTTTACCTTCCGGCTCCCGTTAGGGAAACGGGATGGTCAATCAGGTATTTGAACTTATTCCTCCGAATAGGGTTTTGCCAGACGTGGTCAACAAGCCGCGGAAGAGTAACCTGCGAAAAAGGAAAACATGAACATACAGCAGAGGGCGCTCTATTCCAATGAAATCTACTGTTAATCGGTTTCTACTAAGGGCATCTAGACAGTCTATGGAAAAAAAGAGCAGAATTCTTACTCAATACTATGGAGAAAGACTAAAACTAGACCAACTCAATACTCGAAGAAAAACATCAAAACGAAGATTACCAATGATCATTTAGGTAAATCATATAAAAACAGGTTAATGGAAATACTCAAGCATTTCCCTGGAAATATCTCTGCAAAAGATTTTAGTTTTCAACCTAGGAAATTAATTTTAAAATATTTTTGAGGCAATCTGGAATATATAACATATGCTCAATAAGTACTTAATGAACTGGATACCAAAAGATATAAATGTTCCCAAACTTCATGTATGTATATACACACCTTTGGGGTCTTACTTTTCTTAGGAGGCAGTAAGTTTTCAGGACAAGGACCAGCACTGGCTGCATAGGTCAGAGAAAGCAGAACTTCCTCAGGAATGAACTCATTCTGAAGGGGAGGAGGCAGGGGTTTTGACCGATCCACCAGACTTCTTTTCTCCCTTAGTTCAGGAAGTCCTAAGACAGTAATGGGAAAGAAAAAGCTTACTGTAGTTTTTTTTTTGAGAGTTAGAGATTCCAGGGCTGCCTCATCATCTATGTTTCTATGTTTGTAACAGAGAATAACAACAATAGTCAAAAACCTGAGAAAACATATATAGTCAAGGGGAAAAAAAAACCTCATATTGCCTGCCCTGCTTACTTACATCAGACATGAGCCCATAAACTCAAGTACAAAGACCAACCTTCATTATTCCAAATTCAAAGTTGGAAATTAAACTCACTTCACCTGCTCAATTAACTGAGGCAGCCTGCAGATAATGGGAATGTTTACCTCCCTTTTTTAAAACTTTTTTTTTATTGAGTTACAGTCATTTTACAATGCTGTGTCAAATTCCAGTGTAGAGCACAATTTTTCAATTATACATGAACATACATATATTGTCATTTTTTTTGCTGTGAGCTACCACAAGATCTTGTATATATTTCCCTGTGCTATACAATATAATCTTATTTATCTATTCTACATATGCCTGTCAGTATCTTCAAATTTTGAAATCCCAGTCTGTCCCTTCCCACCCCCACCCCACCCACCGGCAACCACAAGTTTCTATTCTATGTCTATGAGTCTGTTTCTGTTTTGTATTTACGTTCTTTTTTTCAGATTCCACATATGAGTGATCTCATATGGTATTT